TGTTTCATTCCATATTAATTGCCTTTTATATTAAGCCAAATACATTGTATTATCAAGCGAAAATATAGTTATATTCTAATTTTCATTCTGATTTTTGCATTTTCATACATTCGATTTTATAGACAGCTTATACATATTTCGAACAATAAAAAGTAAATGTCATTGAGTGCAATTTGTATTCATTCTTGTTATCTTCAATTTTCCGTTCATAAATCACTTTTGAATGTACTGTTTTAAATGTCCAGGTTTGTACTTATCACTCTAATCAGTATAAACTGTACTAAAAACTGATTCCGTGTAGAAAGTAAAAACACAACCCACATGTTGCATTTGACGTAATATAAACAGATAAACATACCTAGCTGAAATGCACAACAGATATAAAACAGATGCTGATGAAAACATGACTCTTGAAAAAAAAGAGGTATAGTTTGCAAACAATACATTTCTCTGAGCTATAGCTGTCTGAAATGATACCTAAAGTGTCAGAAATAATAATCCTTTTTGGATTATTGGTGCTTGGGGCTTTTGGAAACGTTCTACCTACTGTCTCTAGTGCAAGTTCTTTGACGGAACCTTCGAAGGATAAGTTGCTAAAAATTGCTATCGATCAGTTGTATAAAGAGACATTGATTCGACTTGAAATTGAAAAGAAGTTACGTCTCTTAACAAATGAGATTTCAAACCTTAAAACTGATGGCGAGAAAATAGGAGAACGGATGCAAGAAAATAAAGAAGATATTTTACCAAGTAAGATTGTTTTACGGTTTTTTTCTTTGTTAGCTTGTTTCCTTTGTTTTGTTGTTGTTATGTCCCCGTAATCGAAGATTCGGGAGTGTATAGTTCTAGCCCTCTCCGTCCGCCTGTTCCGTAAAAACTTCAACCTTGTTATTATTTTCTGAGTGGGCGGGGTTATTGCTTTTATATTTCACAGGTGTATTCTATTACCTTTTTTTTTCTGGTACCACCATTTTTTTTTAAAATAAGAATTAAAACAGATGACAGAAGCGAACTTTTATAAAAGATAGTGAAAACAAACCCTTATTGATGTCTATATGCGTACAATGAAGTTTAAATCAAAGGTACACTTTTATTCAAAATGGATAATTATTGGATGAAATATATGGAGATAACGTACAGTATTCAAGCTTAAAAGTCCATTGATGATACAAAATTGGAACAGAGCAAACACGGACTTCCAAAACATTAAAGGTTTGATCAGGTGACATTGTGGAGTGAGCATCCCGACTGGTTACACACGCCGTGTGCTCCTTGTCATAATCGAGAAATAACGGTAAAATCCGGAAAACAATTCAGTGTGTACACATTGGCCAAACAATTGAAAGAAAATGTCCCTTATACGAAAAAATGTTGTAAAGATTAATAAGGATGTTTGATGAAATTAAGGTATAATTTTGAACATAATAGAAAGTTTCCATTGTTTAACATTTTAAAAAGTTATTATTTGCATTATTTACAACCAAAATTTATCAAAAGTATGAGCTAATCCGGGCACCCAAACTTTTGTTTTTATCGCTTGTATTTAATATCTAATTAATTGCTTCCACTCCATGACGCTTTTTTTGAATTTTTTTGTATTTTTTAAAACATTTAATTTGATATGAATTCATTCATTTTTGAGAGTCATTTTTTTCATTTTCACATTTTGGCAAATAAGTTGTAAGCTGAGCCTTAAAAACTTTTTTAATCCTTAGCATAGATCTAGTATATAGAGGATATTCAATGTTTTGTAGTTGAATATGGGATTTATTTCACGAGCGGGACAGGATTTTTGATATTTTCACGAGTGCGAAGCACGAGTGAAAATATCAAAAAATCCTGTCTCACGAGTGAAATAAATTCCATATTCAACTACAAAACATTGAATTTTCTGTTTATGAAATTTAAAAAAAATTGTTTTTCCTTTGCCTCTGTCTTTTTGTAATACAGTCATAGGATATGACGTCATATAGTTAAGCGGTTGAGACGTCATAGCTAAGTGAGGTGAAAACACTATAAACATGGATTTGGCATAATATTTTTGGTAATTTTAACAGTTTTAATCAATTTCAGAACGGTTCATTCATTTCCTTCCATCTTATATTAGGTCTAGGAAGATTTTTTTTACAACAATCTTCGTTATGGGAAGGGAAATCGAGAGTTTTCCCGCACTCTTGATATTCGTCACACTGTGACAGGATATCATTTTGATATCCTTTCACACTGTGACAGGATATCATTTTTATTCAATGAATAAATTACAGCATTTCAAGGGTAAAAATGTAATAAATTTATGATTCTGTATCTTTTTGAAATTTTTTTAATTAATAAGGTATTTATTTGATGCATTAACTATGTATTATTATTCATTTTGTTGTAGAAAAATATGGAAATGGATTTTATGCGTATCTGTCAAGTGACCTTGCTAATCCTGGAGGTCAGCACACAATAGTCTATGACGTCATTAAAACAAATTTTGACAATGCGTACAACCAATACACAGGAATCTTTACGGCATCAAAGGAAGGCCTTTATTCGTTTACCTGGGTGACACGTGTTGAGTGCGGTGAAGCGTATACAAGCGAACTTATTGTAAATAAGGATGTGGTTGGAAGCACATTTGCTTATTGCGGTTGGAATACCGTCTCTGGAAATGCAATTGTAAACGTGACAAAGGGCGATGCAGTATTTGTACGTACCCGTCCAGGGGTGGGAAAAGGAACGATTAAAAGTAATGAATATGGAAGAACCTCTTTCTCTGGCTTCATTATTAATTAAAAGCTTAAACATTACAAATGAATACATAGAAACACAAAAGAAATATATCTAAATAGCATTAAAGCGTATGTAGTTTTTGCTTCCTTTTTAAAAATTACTTGTATTATTGTTTTTTCAAATTGTATTGTATTAAGAAACTCTTTTTCTCCGTTACAGACACACAGTTTATATGAACAATTTTTGATGGCGTTATATACGCCAAATACGCAGCAATGTAATTGCAATTGCGAATAAAAATATTGTATGCATCTTTTCATTATTTAACACCTGGATATGGTCCTTCGGATGAAACCGTTTAAACCCAGGTCTGTGTCGCTGTACGTGCTGGCACGAAGAAGATCAATCACTGCTCAATGCTGTTATTGACAAATACAGGACAAAAATTGCAGCTCTCCATCGGCAAGTTGTGGCGTCTTCATATGAGTGAAAAATGCTGGATCATTTCGAAATTTCTGTGGTCGATACAATGACCTTGTCAGCAAAGACAATTAATCATTGAGTCAAATGCTGACTGACATTTTTCATACTAATTGTTAGTCCATTATTTATACACTGAATCGACGGATTTTTCCGTTATTTCCCGATCATGACAAGGAGCACACGGCGGGTGTGACCGGTCAGCAGGGGATGCTCACTCCTCCATGGCACCTGATCCCACCTCTGATGTTTCGGAGGTCCGTGTTTGCTCTGCTCCTATTTTGTATTGTTTAATGGACTTTGATATTGAATACTGTTAGTTATCTCCAAACCCTTCCTTGATTAGAACGTTAAACAACGGACAATCACAATCAATCAATCATTAATTAACAGAACTTTCCTACGGATTCAGACGCTAAAATTGTTATTTGCAAATCAAGTTCTATAATATATTCTGTTGTAGTGAATCTTTGTGTGAAATAAGAACCTACCAAGTTTATCCATAAGAAAGATATGGACCGGACACGAATTATGATATTTTTCTTCCAGTGACCTTGAACTTCCCCAAATAACATTGGTTCAAGGTCATGACACACCCTTGGGTTATGGGCAATCTTTGTGTGAAATGAAAACCTACCAAGTTTATCCATAGGAAAGATATGGACCGGACACGAATTATAAAATTTTTCGTCCAGTGACCTTGAACTTCCCCAAATGACCTTGGGTCAAGGTCATGACACACCCTTGGGTCATGGGCAATCTTTGTGTGAAATGAGAACCTACCAAGTTTATCCATAAGAAGATATGAACTCAAATATGATTTATGAAATTTTCTTCCAATGACCTTGAACTTCCCCAAATGACCTTGGGTCAAGGTCATGATACACACTTTGGTGATGGGCAATCTTTGCATGAAATGAGAACCTACCAAGTTTATCCATAAGAAAGATAAGGACCAGACATGAATTATGAAATTTTTCTTCCAGTGACCTTGAACTTCCCCAAATGACCTTGGGTCAAGGTCATGACACACTTTTTGGTGATGGGCAATCTTTGTGTGAAATGAGAACCTACCAAGTTTATCCATAAGAAAGATATGAACCAGACATGAATTATGAAATTTTTCTGCCAGTGACCTTGAACTTCCCCAAATGACCTTGGTTCAAGGTCATGACACACCCTCGGTACCATGGGCTATCTTTGTGTGAAATGAGAACCTACCAAGTTTATCCATAAGAAAGATATGGACCGGGAACGAATTATGAAATTTTTCTTCAAGTGACCTTGAACTTCCCCAAATGACCTTGGGTCAAGGTCATGACACTACCTAAGGTCATGGGCTATCTTTATATAAAATGACAGCCTACCAAGGTTTATCCGTAAGAAAGATATGAACCGGACACGAATTATGAAATTTTTCTTCCAGTGACCTTAAACTTCCCCAAATGACCTTGGGTTAAGGTCAAGACACACCATTAGGTCATGGGCAATCTTTGTGTGAAATAAGAACCTACCAAGTTTATCCATAAGAAAGATAAAGACCGGACACGAATTATGAAATTATTCTTCCAGTGACCTTGAACTCCCCCAAATGACCTTGGGTCAAGGTCATGACACACCTTTGGGTCATGGGCAACCTTTGTATGAAATGAGAACCTACCAAGTTTATTCAAAAGAAAGATATGGACCGGACACGAATTATGAAATTTTTCTTCCAGTGACCTTGAACTTCCCCGAATGACCTTGGGTCAAGGTCAAGACACACCCTTAGGTCATGAGTAATCTTTGTGTGGAGTATTAGATTCTAATGTCCCGCTGTAAGAAAGATATGGACCGGACACGATTGCACAGACAGAAGGACAGACGGACGTACAGCTTAGACGGACAGACGGACAGCAGGACAAGGTGATTCCTATATCCCAATATATCCCCCCAAACTTCGTTTGCGGGGGGTATTAAAATGAAGGGCCAAGTCCCCTCACAAGGGGAGATAATCAATAAAAGACAAAAATAGGGTGGGGTCATTAAAAAATCTTCTTCTCAAGAACCACTGGGCCAGAAAAGCTGAAACTTATGTGGAAGCATCCTGGGGTAGTGTAGATTCTAAATTGTTAAAATCATGACCCCTGGGGGTTGGGCGGGGCCACAATGGGGAATCAAAGTTTTACTTAGAAATAAATAGGAAAAATCTTTAAAAATCTCAAGAACCACTGGGCCATAAAAGCTGAAACTTATGTGGAAGCATCCTGGGGTAGTGTAGATTCTAATTTTTTTAAAATCATGACCCCCGGGGGGTAGGACGGGGCCACAATGGGGAATAAAAGTTTTACATAAAAATATATGGGAAAAATCTTTGAAAATCTTCTACTCAAGAACCAATGGGCCAGAAAAGCTGAAAATTATGTGGAAGCATCATAGGCTAGTGTAGATTATTAATTGTTAAAATCATGACCCCGGGTGTTGGGCGGGGCCACAATGGGGAATCAAAGTTTTACATAGCAATATATAGGAAAATTTTTTGAAAATCTTCTAATCAAGAATGGAATGGACAAAGCTTCTCAGGTGAGAAATTTTTGGCCCATGGGCCTCTTGTTATGTTAATGAGCAAAAAAATTCTCTGCATTTGCTAAGTTTTGAATAAATCCGGTCGTCCTTCCTAGTTGATATTATAAAAGTGCACAGAAAATCAGAATCTTTAATTTCAGATAATATAAGTTCTTATTATAAACTCAATCAAGGAAGGATGAATGTTAAAGCTGACATGAACTCTTAAAAAGGCATCAGTTTTCATCTTTGTACGACTTACTACATTCCTGTACGCCCTTGTCCGCCATATTTCATCGATTCCGCCATTTTTAATCGAAGATTTTTGGCCACCCGACCGCTATAAAAAGCCTTGTAGAATTGTTTCACTTGAGTGATTTTCTAGCCTGGCTGTCACATGTCACATCTCCGAAAGCATAGTT